ATTAGCAACACAAGTGGAAATTATTTGTGGATGGCTCTAGTCAGTTTTATGCCTGGTACTGGAAATCCACAAGCTGCATGAGATTAACCAGATGTACTAGAGCAAATGTGCCCTGCAATCAAGGGATCAAGAAGTTTAAGTCATTGCATCTGAAAACTCCCAGGCAAGAACCCTGTCTAAAGTGTCCTTGAGCAAGACATTACACCCCCACCAGCTTCACAAAAAGTGCAATTTAACCAGAGCACTTGATTGCAGTAGAAGGATGCATGCCTTGGTTATTTGATTGATTTATATACTGCATTGTCATTGTCTTGTTTATGTTTCTTATGCTGGTGTTATCTATTGTGTATCTTGTTTTTTATTTGTTTGTACGGCGACCTTGAGAGCCTTGAAAGGCGCCTATATAAAATAAATGAATTATTATTATGCCGAACAATAGGCGGTCAAGATTCATGGTGAGTTTTGTGTTATTTAAATAATACCTGTAGTGATTCCTAAACAAAAGCAGTGTTCAAGAAAAGCCTGTTTCAATAATTGAGTTGCTTTTTCTGGCAAGTGATCATTTTTTGGAAGTGCATGATTCTTTCCAAAAAGACAAGTTGTGTTTTCAGGATTTCTGAAGAACAATGCGTCATGGTGAAACAAGAAAAACATGTTTCACCATAGGCTATTAGCCTTTTCATGCAACTTTGTGACAAAGAACACACACAGACACAAAGTTACAGCAACACTTCAATGAATCCCCTGACATTGTCTCAACAGATATTAAACATTGGAAGATATTATTTAATAAGGGACTGTGAGGAATGATGTATTTCAAATTATGAAGTGCATGGCAGCGGGTAGATGGATCATTCTCCTCTAACAAGAAGGAAAGATCTGTGTGCTTGATTTTTTTTCCAAATTAAAGACCTCCCCTCCTCTTTTTTCCATCTCATCCTCTATCCCCCAACAAATCAGGCTCTGTCAACAGAAGAAGAAATGTCATGGGTTGAGACCTGAGACAAAGCCTGGTTTTTGCAGCCGATTCAAAGAAATGAGGGTCTTCTAATCTAATTACATAATTAGATTTGAGATCATCCTGAGAGATGGTAAACGTAGTCAAACAAAGGTCAGGGGAACGTGGTGAGAGAGAGACAACAGCTAGGTGCCCTAATTAACCCCGGGCTGCCTGCATGATGTTCGAGGAATATCATAAAATGCCCTCAATGGAAGCATGAAATAACTTAATCCAGTGACCCCAGGATCAGCCTCACAATTTACAAGAGGTCTTGGAGGATTTTGGAGCAGGACCATACAGGGAATAGTCGTACATAAAAATTCCAGACACTCCATAAAACTCTAGTTTATGGGCAGCGGAGTAAAAAGAAATCAGAAAAACTCCAGTTGCTCCAAAAACAACCCATTTCCTGTTCACTTTAAGGGCAGCGTAAACTGTAAACACGACAGTGACGATTCACAACCTTTAACATTGATATTTGCTTTGTTTTGGTCTCCACCACATCCTAATGGAAATATTGTGTGTTTTTGCTGAATACTGCAATATATTACAAACTGTTTCAGCTTGTTGCCTGTCTTGTTTAGTGGCTAGGAAGTGTGTTCTCAAAGCTTACAGTATTCGCTTAAACATCTGCCTGCTATGAAAACCTGAGATTTATCAAATCTAATCTTTAATTGTTTTCTTGATTATTACCTGAAAATAATGTAAATACATCAAAAAGGGCACCAGTCGCATTCGGTGGAGCACCGCAGATATCCATAGGCACCCTATAAGCACTGTATTGCATTATCTACACTGAAAGGTCCCCTACAGACCTTTGATATGCTTTCCCCCCCGGTTATTCTCATCTGCATGACATGCAAAGGAAGCTATGATCCATGACACAGACCTTTACATCAACTCATAAAACCCAAAGATATGTCTCTGTAGAGGCCTCGTTCTTGAAGAAAATTGTGAATAAATAACTGTTTCTGATATTTGGACATTGGTCTCCCTCGATCCATTGTTGTTCTTAGCACCCCCTCAACATCTTAACTTCTCGCTGATATCATCATTATATTGGACTGGGTCATAATCGAGGCCTTATGACTCATAAGGCCTCTCCTATTACAAAAAAGTTTCAACAAGGCTACCGCACTTCAAACAACATTTATTATTATGTGATTATTAGGGCCGGGACTTTAACGCGTTAATTAAGATGAATTAATTACACAAAAATTAACGCATTTTAATCGCATTTATTTTTGCACCGCGGAACGTTTATCACTGGATGAGTTTCAGGCGTACCGATTATACTGGAGCACCAACTAACGTTCATGACTTCAGACAACAACAAACCACAGTGAACAACAGTGGGAAATGTTGTTTAAAAAACGGACGGATGGAAGCGTCGATAAGAGCAACGGTTGTGTGCAAATTATGCAAAAGGAATTCGCATATCACCGCAGCACATCAAGCCTCAAGATACAGGGTTGCCAACTTTGGGTACCTGGCTGTAGTACCCCTCACTGCAGTGCGCAGTACCTCAAGCCCCTCCTTCTCAACTTTGAGGCACGTGACTAACGGCGCCTCCTTCTCAACCTAGGCCCTCCTTCTCAACCTAAGCCCCTCCTGGCACGTGACTCAACCTTTGAGGCACGTGACTAACGGCCCCTCCTGACTAACGGCCCCTCCTCTCAACCTTTGAGGCACGTGACTAACGGCCCCTCCTTCTCAACCTTTGAGGCACGTGACGAGCTTCACAGTTTCTGTTCTGTTAATCATAGCGTCAGAGTATTAACTATTTTAACATATTAATATAAATATATATACCTTTGAGACATGTGACGAGCTTCACAGTTAACAATGATAATAATAATGATACCAATGATGATGGCGAGTGATCTGTCGCCATGGCAACGCATTTAAAAAATGTAAAACTTCAAATTAAACACTTAACAAAGCATATTTTAATGTCTATTTGCATGTTAATTGCATCAATTATTTCAGTTATGACTTCAAGAAAGGGGCCTTCATTTGTGTTTTAACTTTGTAATTTGATTTTAATTTCAGAGGCAATATTGTATATTTACTCACATTTTGACTGAAAACATGTGATAAATGAAATCATATCACATTATTTCCTACCAGTATTTAAAAATATATATTAAAAAAGTGCCATCGTATTGACAAATTGACAGGATAATATCAATGGTAATATAATACTGTGAACAGAGCCATTCCGCATGTACTTCTACTTTTGATACTTCGAGTACATTTAGCTGATAATACTTATACTCTTTTACTTAAGAAACACTTTGAATTCAGGACTTTCAATTTTATTGAACACAGAGAGCAACAGACAAGACAGGACAAAATAATACACAGACAGATCATGACAACTAATACATTTTGAGGCATTAGTGAACCCCCCTGCAGCGGTCACTCATGACCCCATCTCAAATGATGGCCTGCTTCTTTTGTGGAACCTCACAACCTCTTCATCCTGAAATATATTTGACAAAGACAGGTTACATGTTTAACACTCACACTGGTTCAAGACTTTATTCATTTGGTGATTCAACAACTTCTACCTGCATTGCCTTTTCCTCCCGTCGCCTCTTGCAGTCTTGCGACCTCTGTTGTTCAGACCTTGGTGAATGAAAGACAAACATTACAAATATTAATTAAAAATGATATAGTCAGGTTACAGTGTAAGAAATAGTTTCAAGAATGCAAATGTAAATTGTAAAATTAAAGAAACATACGGCATGGGAAAGTTTTTTTGAGGAGAACTAGGCACCACCAGTGCCCTAATTTGCTGCATGTTTGTCTTGGAATATAAAAAGCACACAACCAGATGGGTCAACAACACATGTCCTGAAAAGTCTTGTATATCAATGAAAAATATCAATGAAAAACTGAAAATATGAAACCCTTATTTATACATACCTCATTGAAATCAATTGGGCTCTTGCCACAATGTAAAATGCGTACTGTAAATAAAGAAATACTATATTATGTTAGGTTGTTGTGATGCTATGGTGTTCATTGACAAATAATATTCCTCCGTGAATGTTGTTTTGGATATAAATAAATCACAGCATGTCTCAAACTATGAGCAATAATGGAGTGCATAGCATGCTGAAGCGTTATACATTTGTATACATTATTATAAACAGAAAAATAGGACTACTATATGTATACTGTACATCCAGTATCTTACCATCAAAACAAACACCCCACAGTTGTTCGAGAACCCTTGTCTTGGTAGGCCCTGTAGTGTGAAAAGTCAAAAGTGTCAAAAATGACAATTACATCATACTCTTCAGTAGAATCATTTTAACAAATCTAACCTGGACATCATCCACACCAAGACTTGCCCAAGGCCCAGGGCACAAGATCTGGGCAAGGTTTCTGTGAACACAATGCATGTGAAAGTTAAGAATAAGTACAATTTAATTCAACTTTATAAGTACTCGAAAATCATGCAGAAAATCTTTGAACACTGTTGGAACAGGAACAAACTTGAACTTCCAAAAAAAAAGTCATTAAGGGGTCAAACAGAACAGCCCCGCTGTCAAGTGGCATCTATGGTTCTGTTCAATGCCTTTTATTGAATACAATGCATCCCATGTTAGTTCAAATAAAACAGAACCATAGATTAAAAAAAGATAGACAAGTGGTCTAAAACAGAACTACCACTGTCCAGATGTGATGTAACTGTGCGCCAAAAAACCTGAATGGTTTGGTGCGACTATCATCTCTCCAGCCAGTGCCACGGAGGGGATCTAGAAAGAAGATCTCCCTAGCTTGTGGCCTCAGTATCTGTTAATATCACATGTTCCAATATCAACAGGTATACTTTGACATACAAACGTTATATTATAAAGTTGTAGGATCTGTATTATACAACTAAATGAAGCGTTGAATTTAAAGATAGAAACACTATTTGCGGCATGGCAAACTGCATTGTACAGTAAACAAACAATAGCAAAGACTGAACTACATGTACTTACACAGAGTGTCCAGTGTCCAGGTTCCCACACTGGAAGGAGAAGCCGTTGGAGATTTGCTGCATTTTCCTGGAAAAGCAAAAAACCAGTTGTGTTGATGTGACTACAGTAATGAGTTGGTACAAGAACATGGAGCAGCAACATGGGTAATCATGATCAAAATACCGGCAGGTGTTGCATCGGATTCAGCGAAGATGGTGGAAACCAGGCAGCTATAACATGGCTGTTGGCAGCAAACACGCCATCTACTCTCTGTAACAGATGTAGTTTCATAATGTAATATCTTATAATTGTTTGGTATAATATAGTATGTTTTATACATGTATTTACATATTTTAGAACAGCTTCAATACCTTCTCAATAACTTTAAGACAGCTGTTCAGGATCTGGCAGAATACAAACACACAGTCAGTAAAATACAGAGTATATGAAACATGGTAGGTGATAGGTAGTTTAGCATCCGCTTGATGCCAGTCTCACTAGGTGGATAATGGTCCTCTCCTGGTTCACTATCCTGCTCAGTGAAAGTATTTGGTGGAATGGATTCTTCAATATCCGTCGACTTAACTTTCCTGAACAGTTGTCTTCTTGTGGCAAAGAGGTGCCATTTCCCGATGGCTTTATGGGTGCATGATTGTCTTGGTTTAGCACAAGGACAATGCCAGCTGTTCTGCTTGCTGTCGTATGCAACCACAACCCTTCCCAGCCTACTGTAGTATGAAGCTTTAGGCTCATACACAGAAATGTGATATTTGGTTTCTGGTCCACCAACAGTGAGCAGGACAGACAGGGGTACACCCTTAGCCTCTGCCTCTTGTTGCCACTGTACAAGACTGGCCTTGCGCTCCTCACCAAACCATTTCTCCTGAACCATTGTAGCCAATGATTCCTTTTGCAAAGTTAATGGTTTGTTGCGTGCAGGTGGGCAGTACAGCAATGATTGCAAATGCTGACATTCATAAGGCAGCATACCACTTCTTCGGGCAAAGTCAGCATTGAGTTCACATAGATGAACCTCGCACATGACTTTATGTGTTGGTCCCCAAGTATTTTTAATGACGTGTATTGGTGTTGCTGGGCCTGAAAATGTCTTCTCCACTGCAAACACATCATTGTGTTCATCAATACACTGGCTTTGCAGATGTCTTTCCTTGGAGACCGTTTCAAAATATGCTGTGTGCTTGCGACGCACATGTGTTTTATAATTGTTCTTGTTTAATTTTAGATTGCAGTGTGGACAATTTACAGTTTGTTTAGGCCTATGTCGCTTTTCAGGAGCAGGATGACGGGGAGCAAGGAGCAGGTGAGATGGTGGGGGGGAGCTGGGCAGGTGCTGGAGTGAGCAGGTGAGATGGTGGGGGGAGCTGGGCAGGTGCTGGAGTGAGCAGGTGAGATGGTGGGGGGAGCTGGGCAGGTGCTGGAGTGAGCAGGGAGATGGTGGGGGGGAGCTTGGGCAGGTGCTGGAGTGAGTAGGTGAGATGGTGGGGGGAGCTGGGCAGGTGCTGGAGTGAGCAGGTGAGATGGTGGGGGGAGCTGGGCAGTGCTGGAGTGAGCAGGTGAGATGGTGGGGGGAGCTGGGCAGGTGCTGGAGTGAGCAGGTGAGATGGTGGGGGGAGCTGGGCAGGTGCTGGGAATGGCCACATGGCTGTTTCGCCAGGCTCTCTACTTATCAGACTAATATCACCAGCGTCAGGCTCTCAGTCCTCGCAGTTTTGGGGGATAGGTATGTAATCTCCATGCCGTGTTGGGGGAGAGTTATCTAATCTCCACGCGTGTTGGGGGATAGCTATCTAATCATCACTCAATGTTCTTTGTAAATCTGTGGACTGATGAGGCCCGAGCCTAGACGCCAAACTCAAACTACTGTATGCTGCTTATAATAAACATATTAAGAACACGTGAGTTGTCTGACTGAAATGGGGCGAAGCCTGCGATCTAGTTCAGGCAGTCAACTCGAGCACCAATGGACATTAACACGTGACGCACCTCGTCCCTCTTACAACCAACCAGGCACGTGCACACAGACATCAAAGTGGGCTTGAGCCCCTGCCCTTTTTCTTCCTCCAGAGAAAGTGCCCTTTACATTTTTTTTATTAATATCTACTGCTGTTTGTGCACAGTTTCCCTTTCCAAAAATATATAACGTCATCACAATCGCCACATTGATATTCAAATTAGACGTTATCTATTCTAGGCCTAATTAAAATTGGCTAATTTGCATGCAGCTACCAAGGCATTGCAGGTGAAAAGGATAAAACAACAAAAAACATAGCACCTCACAACTTCCCCAGATAGTTACTGATGTCAAATCAGTATTTAAATATGTAGATTAGCTTTAAATCTATAGATGAATTCAGACATGGTAGTAAAACGAACACCATTTATATGTGTTTTTTTTAAGTTTTCTTTCCATTAGAGTGAAAGAAAACATGGAAGCAAAATAGACCAAAATGTACAAGTACATGAAAAAACTATCTTTTTGCCTGTAATGTCCTGCCTTAAACAGTAACTTCATAATTTTGATTGTTGGCTGCTCATTTAATAAATATTCATTTTAGTTTTTTGTCTGCTCTTGCGCATAGTGAATACTAAAGAAGACCATTGACCATTTATCTGTTGAGTATTAAACAATTGCGTGAGGGTATGAAAATAAATTGGTCAGTAACAGTGGCGGCTCCAGAGTATTTTTGTTGGGTAATCTATGGTAGGGCTAACCCATACAGTAATTACATACATGCTATATCGCCCCCCTTGACAGTGAAACGTCACGCGTGAGGTTTAGATTATGTGTCAATCAAAATTGAACTGTATGAAATAAAACGACACATTTGTCTTGTAGTAAATAAAAAGGGATCACTGTGAACGTGACGTATGATAGTACACGTTGAAGATCGATTGACCTCAATCAGTAATGCATGACGCAGACCCAACGTTTCGTTGCTCTGATTGGCTGTAGGTCTATTCAAATTGCATTCGGAGGCATTTAGATATGACCGGCCGCGCTGATATTATAACGCCAGTGAATTTTCACACCTTTAGTGTATAAAACTCCCCCACTACTTAGACTATTCCTTGCACCCCTCTTCTAGCATAAGCCCGAATGGTCTCAACCATATTGCATCAGTAACGTGCACTTGTTACAGCAGGATCAGTTTGTGTGTTGTGGACACGACCCGTTTATTTTTCGCTAGCCGTGTTCTCAACATTTTGCTTATTTAATTTGCTTACTTTAATAATTTTTCATGGTGGGGCTAAGCCATTTCTTGGTATGGCTGTAGCCCACCCCAGCGCCGCCACTGAGTGTATCGTAGTGCCAAGTTTTATCATAGTATGATTTTTAATGTGAGCAAATTTGGCTATGGAAATATTCAAGTTATAACGTTCAAGGTATTAAATGTGCCTGGAAAAAGTAGGCCTATGGTATTGGAGTCTAAGGGTATTTTCTCGATTTTTAGATGTTTTCTTAAATCACCTTTTAAATGTATTTCTTCTAACATGGCACCCCATGTGTTACATATCAAAATGTTCAGGACAATCTCTGGTATTGCTATATATGCAAATTACTCACCTTAGAGCACTGTTTGATGAGATAAGTAGCTCAAAAGCTTAAAATTTGACATCCGATTTTCGGAAAATCTTCAAAACTTTTGTGAAAACACAAATTTACTCATGTGATCGAATTGTTTTGGTGTTTTAGATTTGGTTACCAAAGTCTTAGGATCACAAAAGCAGTGAAATATTTGAATTACACTGTATATAAATGTGTTATTCATGTCTAAAATGAAAAAAATGTAATTCAAATTTTGTGTAAAATAGGTGTTTATCACTCTACTTTCACCACAGCAGGGACTGAGATACATCAGGACCGAATAATGACTTCATATTACATACCAAGGTTCAACTTTTTTTTTCAACCAACAATTTATTATAAATATGTTTTTTTCAACCAACTATTTATATAAATATAAGAAACTGGAAAATCTAACTATTTACAATATTGAACATCAGAACTTTCAACCAACTATTCATTATAAATGTCAAGACAGTGTCAAGGTATTTGTATGTCTTCCAAGACAGTGGGTCTGGCTACTGTGAATATGGGGGTGATGGTGCATGGGCTGCTGTGTAGGTGGGGTGTACAAGTGCTATACGAGACCTCCTTGCTGGCTGGGTTGAAGGTGATGGCTGTGATGAAGCCTTTGTGCTGAGGTGTATCTTGACCTGGTGGCAGCCGCAGATGGAGGTGGAGGCAGCTGTAGTGATGCTGGTCTGCTGGTCCTTGGTGGTGATGGCTCTGGTGAAGGCCCTTGAGCCACAGTAGACCTTGACCTGGGGGCCGGCCAGGGCTCGAGCTTAAGGACGTCCCGTCGTCGAAAAAAATAGTGTCAGGGAGGATAACAAATAATTTTGGGACGAGAGTTAAAATAAAAATAGCCTGCTAACTCTACTACAAACGGCGATGAAAATGAAACCGACTGCACGTTTTGTGTAGCACACAGTTATTAAACCTCCTTGTCAACATAAACACCATGATAAACACACACGCACAAAACATTTAGAAACCCGGGAAATACACACACATCTAGCTACAGCTGTGCCACTGGCTGTCAGCCAGCCGCCCAGCTGGCTGTGCCCGCGAATTCCTGGCCCGCAAATTCGCGGGTCTAGCTATGTACTGAGTGTGTATTTCGCGGGTTGAGTGATGTACAATGGCATCCCGTGGAGGAATTCTGAAATGTTTTACCATTACATCACAAAAACGCACAGCAGAACCAGACCCTGGAGCGCTGGCCTCTTTATTTACTTACTCCTCTTCATCCCCTATGGGTAATAAGGCTGAGATGAGAACTCTCCATCGTATTTAGTCCTTAGTAATATGCTGCGCCTCTCCCCATGTAGGGATGGGTACCGAGCCCCGGTATTAAACGGGCCCCGGGGCGGAATTATTAAAGACAGTGGTAACGTTAAGCTCCGACGTTATCGGACTTGTTATCGGTACTGGAGACATTTAAAAAATATATGTCATATGTATTATTGCTACATACACATTATATCGCAGTTTTAGTTTCACCAACTCCGTTTCTAATATGCAATAAGACTACAACATGCGTCTATGATGTATTTTCGAGCTTTCCAATCCAGACGAGATCTCTCTCTCCCGTCTGTGTGCGAGGGGGCGGGGCCGTTTGTAAAGGTCTCCTGACTGTGTTACAGACTGTCATCTGTGGTTACTCTGGGTTCTGTCTTCAGGACACAGTGTTGGATTTTTTTGTTAATTGGATGGGACTTGATTGGATTCAATATTAGAGTAATTTCCTCGTTTGTGTGTTTGTTTAAATATATTTGGCCTTTGTTTATGTGATTGAATGATTTACTCATAAAAAGGTTGATGAA